TCTCTCTCTCTCTCTCTCTCTCTCTCTCTCTCTCTCTCTCTCTCTCTCACACACACACACACTTTCTCTCTCTCACCTTTTACACTTCTATATTCCACTCGATACCTGTGGCTCTTCACCCTGTACCACCCCTATATAGTAATACATTCGTGCGCCTTTCCCATCCCCTCAAATCCCCGTAAGAGATTTATTCGTCCTAGATAAACCGCTTGGCTGTCTTACAGTCCCCGCATGATCACGGAAGTATATAGCTTTGCATCGTATAAAAGTAGTATTCAAGGCTAGCGATGGCAGAAAAATGTTCTCGCCGTGGCCAGCCTACTGTGTGCTCTGACACCGTTGCTACCACGAGCGAATCGTCGTAGCGGTACTTGTTATGTTAACTAGAGTAAATAATACACAGTATATATATGAGTATAATCACACCGAAACGTCCTCGGATTATCAGCGTGTAGGTGTTGTACGGGTGCGATAGCGGGACAACTACAAATCTCTGGTATATATATATATATATATATATATAGATACACACACAATAAGGTGGCCGCTCTGTGACGTTCCCATGTGCCGTCAGGTGTTCACTCGGATATCGTTTATCATCGCCAGACTTTTTTAATACCTGTATTTTTACCGGAGATCAAGGGGGATTAGTCACTCTAACCTCATGCACACGTGTGCAGTTATTCTCGCCACCGTACGCTGTATATATGGTTATAATTATACATACACGATGGACTAGCCAGTAACTCCGCCGTAATGCCGTAGCCGTAAGCACGGGTTTACGGTCTTCGCTGCGGTGTTGTGAAATTGACGGAACCGTAATACCTGCCGTCTGCCCTGTCGACTATAAACGCTAAACAGGCTCTGTCGCTACAGACGCACGACGTGCCGCCATTTAAAGGGGAAATAATTATTCAAGAGATTATTAAACACGATTTAATGGATTTGATGGTCAATGCTTGATGAATGAATGCACTTGTAGTCGAATTTTGAGTTCGATCATTACATTGTTTTTCTTTATGATGATAATTAGAATGATATTTTTGATGATACTTATTATGTAGTTATTTTATGTACTGTACATATGATTCACGTGTGTACACATTACAACATTACATCGCATGCGAGTATAATATTGGCTACCAATAACTATTTGTAACATTATTAAGGTGCCCGAAGACGAAAGAAAACGCAAAAGAAACAAACCCAAAGTTATAAAAATGTGTAACTATGTCTCTCATATCTCTCTCTCTCTCTCTCTTTTTCTCTCTCTCTCTCTCTCTCTCTCTCTCTCTCTCTCTCTCTCTCTCTCTCTCTCTCTCTCTCTCTCA